CCAAATATCTGCTAATCCCCAAAAGCACTTTGGGTGTTATTAATTCCCTAAAAAGGAAGTTTTTGCCCTAGAAAAAGAGATATAAACTGGCTCGGGGTGACGCTGCATAACTTCCTCCTCATTCAGTGAACGAAGATGTATAAATATTAATCTGCCCAATTCTCAGCCTGAGTCCATCCTCAAAGTTAAATTGGACAACAATTAAAGTTTTTCAGAGCTATTCCGCTGGTAAACTTGAGTCAGTTTCTCACGTTTATTTTTTCTTTTAATAGCAGAAATGAACTAGTTTTTCTCTCCACAGCAGGAGTTTGTCTGTGTTTATTTTCAGAAAGAAGTAGCTTGGTATCTCTGATGATTTAACACAGTGTTAAGCAACTGGCATCTCATACCTCTGATTATGTTCATAGGCAGTGATAAAATAATTAGTTAAGCTCTCCATTTCAAACAGGACTTCTAATTACCAGATGGTGCATTAATAGAGCCAATATATTTATAAATGTAGCTCTGAAGTGGAGATGGGCTGTTATTTTGTGGAAGGCTTTTTGCTGATTCAGGTTTCTCTGAATAAGAAGATATATATATATATAAAAAAAAAAAGCATTGAGAATATTTTTTTCTGAACTTCCTGCAGTGAGCCGTCATTAATTATTTACACCGGGAGCAGAGGCGATGCACAAGGGTGTGTTAGAGATCAGTTGCTTTAAAACGGGATATTTAAAAAAAAAAAACGAGGACAAAATCTTTCTGGTGTTTACATTTTTAACCGTCTTTAGCATATGATGTCAACCGCATTTTCACTGTTCCTCATTCAGTCTTCCTGCCTACTGGAAGTCTTGCTCTCTCTCGCTTTCTCACAGCCTGAACTACATGTGCAGCGTGTCTTTGTAAATGCAGTTCTCTTTTAAACAGCTTCTTAAATGCCTGGGTTTCTTCCGACTGCGGCACTGAATGCAGCTAACTTTGATGTTGATCTGGTGGCCATTAAGATGTTGCATTAAGTGCTCGGACAATGTTTTTTAGTTTTTGAACAGATGGTCACGCTGAGACCTCTGACCCAGAAAATACCGTCCATATTGGCTCCTGTGCTAAACCAGAACCGGCTCCAGTCTGTCTGTTGTACTCTGACATAAATGTTTGTAAAGAATGGCAGATCTCATTATTTCCAGGACTGGTGTGATTTATTTTCCAGGCACAAAGTGCCATTTTATATCACAATCAAATAACTCTGTTACCTTCAGTCGATGAAAAATGATCTATGTGGCAAAAACCACGTAAAAGAAATGTATCTTTGCATCGTAGCCATGTCTGATGCCTGGAAATTGGCCTCTGTCTCTTTAAGAAGCTCCTACTGTTTCTGACAATCCCCCTTCTGCACGTCATCACAACAATGCTTCTCCATGATGCCGTTTACAAGCGTTCTGAGGAGTATCGTAGTGTGTATAATATGAAAAATAATTCTTCATCTAAGCTAGCGTCTTACCTATGTTGATGCTTTAAGTTTTTTATTTTTTACTGGATTAGGCATATTGAAAGAGAGGCTAAAGTTTTAAGCTCACAGTAACTTAATCATCAGGTCGTTTCTCTGGTGCGGAGAGAGTCGCAGATTATTGGTTCTAGAGCCAAGAGTGGCAGCGACTGGCGCTTAGCAAGTAGAGAAGGTTTGTTTGGCAGGTTTCACTTAAACACCCCATCCTCCTCAGGGATCCGGGTTGCTAACTCTCAGTGACTACAAAAAAATAAAATAAAGACACGAGTGCCTTTACACAAGAGCCGGCATATGGCCTTGTGCTAAACTCATTTTCAGTCAGACGCAAACAGAGCTGCCTGGATATTAGCTGCTCTGTGCCGAGGGAGGAGCGGTCTCCACCCGGGAGAGGAGATGATCACGTCTCAGGCCCACAATTGAATAACTAATTTTAGAATAAAAGTCTGTTGTTTCTTTTTAGTATACCACAATAATCTGATTTAAATCAACAAAGCGAAGCGTCATGTTGCCATGTAACGGCTGATAACATTGTTTATGTAAATCCAGTATTTCTATTGCATTTTTAGTCTGCGTTATACCACATCGTAAGAGAAATAACAGCAGTTAGAGCAAAGCAGGTGAAAAGTTAGCTGTTGCTTTGAATGTTGTTACTGGAGATTAACAGACCACCGCAATGCAGTGCACAGGTGAAGTTAAAATTGAAAAGTGTTTGCGTATTTCAGCCCCACTGGGCGCAATTTAAACTCCCAGCGGTTCCTCGAAGGCCTCTGAGGTTTCTTAGAGAACATTAGAGAACAAACAGTATCATGAAGATCAAGAAACAAACAGCTGAAGTTCAAAGGTGGATGGGGGTACTCTGTAGAATTGACTTGTTGGAGTTTTATATCATCTTATAAGTATTATTTTTGTCATTATGTTATTTTCTCACCAAAAATATGCCTGATTGCCCCGATTCCTTTTTGCATGTCTGAGAAATCTTTGAATCTCCCGTGGCAACCTGCCTAAATGTTTTCCCTCGCAAAGCCTCGCCTTTTCCCCAAAGCTGAGCTTCCACCTCACAGAGCACCTCTCCCCACACTCAGTTCCTACAGACTAGCGGCAGCAGCAATTGGCAAACACCTGGTGGACCTGTGTGGCTGCTGAGCTCATCATACAAACCACTTCTCAGTCTTAAGAGCGGCTGCACGCAAGATGATGTAGAGGCGTTGTTGGGAAGAAATGCGGAAGGCGGAGCGCCGGGAAAGAGTAGGAGCTTCTTGAAGAGACAGTGGCTAATTTCACTGTTAAGTCAAGTTTCTCTTAACTTATGTTTGATACATACAATATTTTTATAACAGCTGAAGGTAACAAAGTTATTTTATTGTGCTATAAAATAGCTGTATGTGTGTGGAGAGTACACAATATATCCCCCTTAAAGAAGGGCTAAGTAATAAATCAGTATCCCAACATATAGTTGTCGTCTTGCAGTGCTCTGTTTCAAAGATCTCCTGAAGGTACGCGACACTCACCCTGGTGAAACATGGTGGTGGCAGCTTCCTGTTGTGTGAATACTTTACGTTAGCAGGGACAGAAAAGCTTCCCTTCATATACAGTCGAAGGGAAGATGGATGTAAGTGAGGCACCAAAAGACGGAAGTTCACCTTTCAGTAGGACAGATGCATTAAACATCTGCTTTTAGTGTCTGGTTTAGCTTAAAGTTTGTTCATGAGCTAGAACGGTGCAGTCAAAGTCCAGATCTAAATCTGGATGAAAAGTCTATCGCAAGATTTGAAAATGATTGTGATGGAGCTCGAGTTAACGGGAAAATCTACAGACATGCGAACTGGTAGAGAGGTACTTCGAGAGATTATGCAACGATGGGTAGTTCTACAGGATATTGACTCGGTGTGCTGAATACAAATGTTATCCACATTTTTTGGATTTTATTTGTAAAAAAATAAAAAATTAAATGTTTTTTCCACCTCACCATAATTTTCTGTTGGTCTATCGCCGACGTTAGGCTGAAGTTTGTGGCGTAAATACTTGCAGGTTACTATAGATTCCCAAAATACTTCAACTTGAATCTTGGAGTAATTTGAGATGGTATTTCTGTGCATGTGGGCGTATTTTAGCTTTCTGCGCCATGTTTCCCACACACACATGCACATGCACGCACACAGGTGTGTGCTTTTCTTTTGCCAGCCAGCATGTGCCATACATTTCAGCCTTGTCTTGTTAGTGTGCACTCCCCTGCCCAACCTGTCTCATCCTCTCATGTCAACCAGGCTCTTATTCCTCGCTCGCCTGCTAGAACACACACACACACATACACAAACTCCCGCTCAGGCCGTCCTCTGGCCGTAGTGTCTGTGTCAGCGTTGCATCTGGTAAACGCGACAATAGACACGTACTCCTGCCGCGCATAGGCAGACAAACATGCAAGGAGACAGACACACACGTCCGGACTAACAGGATAATTACTGGACAATTAGGCACATGCTTGATCTGTCTAGATGTATCCAGTCATCCAGTCATCTTAGGCCCTCGAGCAGCCATTATTCAGGCTTGGACACACACAAACACACGTATTCAGCGCAACACGCTGGGAACACACTTCAGTCGACGGAGCGCCGTGAAAAGCCGGTCCGACCTCTCTGAGTCCATGTGTGCGTTTTTAGGGTTCAGGTCTCGGTCACAAACTAATTGACTGTTTTCAGAAGATTTCATTTCTTCAAAGCTGGTGAAACAAAATGTATAGTGGTGTCAAAGACTTCTAGCAGTACATAAAACACCCTGCATTGTGGTCATGCCAGTGAAAAATTTATGTTTTTATGGTGTGAGATGTTATCAAAACCTTCTCGCTGTTTTGTTGGTTTATTAGTCTGAAAGCTTTTCAGTTTGGTCAACTTTGTGTCACAACTTCTCCTGTTATTAAGACAATCTAATTGTGCCAAATACCTCGGGTATCGGATTGGTTTGGACAAAAATATTAAACCGTTTTGATAAAAATGGATAGATTGAAGTTGAACCATTGGTCCTTGGGTGCAATCCAGTGGATCACAGATTCAGGTTTGGGATCATGTGTCCCTCTAGACGAGGCCACAAGTCAGACTCAGAACTCAGTGGAGATAATATTGTAGGTCCTTTCACACATCAACACACTCAAGCAGCAGATTCCTTGTTGGTACGAGTGAAGGTACAGAAAGAGGTGAAGGGGTGGATGGACACAAATTACTCGCTCTCCTACAATGACAGTAGCAAAAAAAAAACAACAACAACAAAAAACTACAAAATATGTCTAGAACATCCAGGTCCTCTGCAGATGTCATCCAGGTGAAAACTGCAACTATTTGGTGATTATTAAACTTAGAGAATACACAAGAGAGAGCAGGCATCGATGTGTGTGATGTAATTAATTTGTGATGTGTGTATAAGCATGATTGACAGTGCTAAGACCCTCCTCCTGGCTCTGATTGGTCGTTTCTGACCCATAGCGGTGTGTTTCTGCAAATTACCATCAGCCTGCTAATCCAGAATATTCCATGAATGAGAGTGGGTGGGAGCTCCTGCCAGCCTTCCTGTTGCCTGCTGAAAGTCTTGTTCTCCCACAGCCAGAATGAACTGCAGATATCTCGGTTCTCCCTCTGACTTCATTATTAAACAACTCGCTGATATTTAAAACAGCTGACTTAGTGGGTTCTTCACTTTGAAACCATTTCCACGCCAAGGACTGTTTTTTTTTTTTTTTGTTTTTTGCAGTTCTCGGTTAGATACGGTGTGTTCACAGACATTATGAAACTTTTAGATTTTCTGGGAATCCCTCCGATGTCAAAATGTGTCTAATGATGAGAATATGTATGAAAGTGTGTTTCTGCATGGTGAAATGACCCTTGACTCCAGCTGTACTCCGTTTGAATGGATGATCCTCACCACTATCATAGCAAACTGCATTGTCCTGGCTCTGGAACAGCACCTTCCTGACGGAGACAAGACGCCTTTGTCCGAAAGACTGGTAAAACAACAATGACACACGCTTGTGACACACACACACGTCTTGTGCACACACGTGTGCAGTGATGGGATTATACTCAAAGCTCAGCAAACACACGAACATACAGAATAGATGCAGGTATATTCAAAAGGTTGCCAGAGCAGAAAAACGCACGAGAAAGCATCGACAAACAATGATGATTATATATGAATTAGATGGGAAATATTACTACTGCAAACGTTTTACAGAAGATCTGAAGTTAGTTTTTGCTTGCTTTGTTGACATATTGCAGCTTACGTATAAAAATGTTAAAACAAAATGTTTTCTTTTTTTGAGATGCAGCCATTTAACGTTCAAAGGCTATCATTTTTCCCTTCTTGGTCCTAATCAAAACTAGGCCTGTTACGATCAAATTTACCGGACAATAAATTATCCCAACAGTTATTGCAATAAATGATAATATTGTTGTTTTGAGTTCATTTTTAATGCAAGTTTTCTCTCTCTCAAAGACCAATAAACTTTAATTTTGTACAGAACACTTCACACTGCATTTTTCATATCCAAAATAAAACGCCACAACCGGAAACGATAGGAAAAAAATGGAATAAGACAACCACAGCAGTGAATAAAATGGATTACAAAAACCAATATTAATCAGAATGGAAATGATCAAGCTTATTTAATAAAACCAATCTATATGTCCGAACAAAATCAAACAGCTCTCGTCTTCCTCACCTTTACATCCACACTGCATACGTTATTTCATCCTCCTTTCCCTTCATCCTCCCATCATGCTCTCCTGCAGGAAGAGACGGAGCCCTACTTCATAACCATCTTCTGTTTCGAGTCTGGAATCAAGATCCTGGCTTTGGGATTTGCGTTACATAAGGGCTCCTATCTGAGGAACGGCTGGAACGTCATGGACTTCGTGGTCGTCCTCACCGGGTGAGTCTGGAGCAAAACCTCTGAAGTTTTACTTTACATGAATTGTTCAGTGATTATTTAAATATATATATATATATATATATATATATATATATATATATATATATATTTCTCTTACTTTTTTTATATA